ACCAGGATGTTGCTGGGAATGGAAGATTTGAGTTATATGGACAGACTGGGAATGTTTTCACTGGAGCATAGGTGGTTGAGGTATGACCTTATAGAGGTTTATAAAATCATGACGGCATACATAAGTTGAATAGCAAGGGTCTTTTTCTGAGGGTAGGGGAGTTCCAAACAAGGGGGCATATGTTTTAGGTGAGAGGAGAAGGATTTAAAAAGGACATATGGGGCAACATTTTTTTTTAAAACAGTATGGTTTGTATGAGGAATGAACTTCCAGAGGAAGTGGTGGATGCATGTACAGTTACAAAATTTAAACGACATCTGGATAAGTACATGAATAGATTTACTGTTGTCACATGTACTGAGATACAGTGAAAAGTGTTGTTTTGTGTGCTACACAGCAGATTGTACCATACAAAGTGCATCAGGTTAGCAGAACAGAGTGCAGAATACAGTGTAACAGCTGCAGAGAGACAGATCAGAATTAACATTTGACAGGTCCATAATAACAGTGGGGAAGAAGCTGTTCTTAAATCTATTCGTACAAGTATTCAAACTTTTATATCTTCTGTCTGATGGAAGAAGGTGGAAGAGAATATAACCGGAGTGGGAGGAGCCTTCAATTATGTTGGTTGCTTCCTGAGGTAGTGAGAAGTATAGATGGAGTCAATGAATGGAAGGCTGGTTTGTGTAATGGACTGGGCTGCGTTCACAACTCTCTGGTGCGGTCTGGGGAAGAGCAGTTGCCATATCATGCTATGGTGCATCCAGATAGGATGCTTTTCACGGCGCATCTATAAACATTGGCTGAGAGTCCTTAAGGACATGCCAAATTTCCTTAGCCTGCTGAAGTAGAAGAGATTTTGTTGTGCTTTCTTGACTGTCGTGTCAACGTGGGTGGACCAGGACAGATTGTTGGTGATCATCACTCCCAGGAACCTGATGCTCTGGACCATCTCCACCTCGGCACCATTGATACAGACAGGGATGTGCCCTCCACACCATCTCCAGATGTCAATGACCATCTCCTTCGTTTTGCTGACCTTGATGGAGAGATTGCTGTCTTTACACTGTACCACTAAGTATTCAATTTCTTTCCTGTATTCTGACTCATCGCTGTTTGAGATCCAACCTGCAACGGTGATGCTGTCAGCAAACTTGTAAATGGAGTTGGGGCAGAATTTGGCCACACAGTTGTGAGTGTACAAGGAGTATAGTAGGGAGCTGAGTACACAGCCTAGCAGGGCACCAGTGTTGAGGATTATTGTGGAGGAAGTGTCGTCGCCTATCCTTACTGATTGTGGATTACGGGTCAGGAAGTTGAGGATCCAGTTACAGAAGGGACAGCTGAGACCTATGTCTCGGAGTTTAGAGATGAGTTGTTTGGAATTATGGTGTTGAAGGCAGAACTTTGGTTAATAAGTAGGAGCCTGATGTAGGTTTCCTTGTTATCCAGATGTTCCAGGGATGAGTATAGTGCTAGTGAGATGGTGTCTGCTATGGACTTGTTGTGCTGGAAGTCAAACTGCTAACGATCAAGGCAATTCGGTAGGCTGGAGTTGACATGAGCCATGACTAACCTCAGAGCATTTCATAATTATGGAGGTCACAGCCACCAGATAATAGTCATTGAGGCATACAGCATGATTTTTCTTGGGCACTGGGACGATGGTAATCTTCTTGAAGCAGGTGGGAACTTCAGATCATAGCAAGGAGAGGGCAAAGGTGTCTGCGTATACTCCCACCAGCTGGTCCACACAGGATCGGAGTGCACAGCCGGGGATGCCATCTGGGCCAGTCGCCTTCTAGGGGCTCACTCTCAAGAAGGACGATCTAATGCCTGTGGCAGTGACCACAGGTACAGGTGCATCTGAGGCTGTTGCAACAGGTGACATCATTTCACCAACCTTCTGTTCAAAGCGAGAGTAGAGTTCGTTGGGTAGGGATGTACAGTTGCCTGCGCTTCTGTTCAACTTCACTTTATAGCCCATTATGTCATATAAGCCTTGCCACAATTGTCTGAACGATTAATCTGGGTCTCAAGCTTAGTTTGATATTGCCTCTTGGTGTCTCTGAAGGCCTTACAAAGGTCATACCTGGATTTCCTGTAGAGGTTAGGGTTGCCCAACCTGGACTTCAGTAGGGGGTGGATCTCCTAGTTCATCCATGGTTTCTGGTTGGGGAATATTCAGATTAACTTCTTCAGCAGTCTTCAATGTACTTACTAATGAAGTCCATGACGGTAGTGGCATACTGGTTTAGGTTGGCTGCTGAGTTCTTAACTATGGACCAGTCCACTGACTCTAAGCAGTCCTGTAGAAGCCCTTCTATTGCCTCAAACCAACACTGAATTACTGTACTGGGTCCTCACACTTCAATTTCTGCTTGTAAGCTGGGAGGTGGATCACAGCATTGTGATCTATTTTCTAAAATGCGAACAGGGGAAATGGGAAAGGTTTCGAGGGATATGGGCCAAATGCAGGCAAATGGGACTAGTACAGTTTGGGAACATGGTCAGCGTGGACTGGTTGGAATGAAAGGTCTGTTTCCATGCTGTATGATTCTAGTCTGTGGGTAGATCTCAAAAATAGTCAACCATTTATTGGTCAATTTATTTCTGAATGAATAGCTGAAATCACTGGAGATGAATTTTGCAAATTAGGAGGAAGCATATATTAGAAAAATTCAAATTGAATAATAATAAAACATGTATGATTAACTTTAAGATGCTTGGTTACCCAGACAAATCACATATGTTGCACTGCTCCTCACATATGTGATGCCTTATGCAGCTAAGATATTTTTAAAATGAATAAGGGTTCAGGTACATAATTCTTTGAAGTTTGCATCACATATAGACATGGTCGTTCAAAAGGTGTTTGGCATGCTTACCTTCATTACCCAGTCCTTTTGAGTGTAGGAGTTGGGAAGTCATGTTGAGATTGTACAGGCCATTGGTGTAGCCTCTTCTGGAATACAGTTCTGATCAACCAGTTTATAGGAAGGATATTATGAAGCTGGAGAGGGTTCAGAAGAGATTTACCAGGATGTTGCCGGTTATGGAAGGTTTGAGTTATAAAGAAAGGCTGGTTAGGCTGAGACTTTTTCCACTGGAGTGTAGGAAGTTGACAGTCGACCTGACAGAAGTTTATGAAATTGTAAGTATAGATAGAGTTAATGGCAGTTGTCTTATCCCTAGGATAGGCGATTTCAAGACTACCGGGCATATTTTTAAGGTGACAGGAGAAAGATTTAAAAAGACATGAGGGGCAAATTTTTTTTTTACATAGAGGGTGGTTTGTGTGTGGAATGAACTTCCTGAAGTAGGAGTGGATGTGGTTATAATTACGTTTAAAAGACATTTGGATAAGTTCATGAATAAAAGGAGGGTTTGGAGGGTTAGGGCCAGGAGCAGGTAGGTGGGACTAGGTTTGTTTCCGATTACACTCAGCACAGACTGGTTGGACCGAAGGGTCTATTTCCATGCCTTACAACTCTATGACTCTATATCCTGAAGGTCAGGAATATAATTAAGCAAATCAGTGAACTTCGCAGAGATGATTAAAATATATTTCATTTGTGCCCTTTGAAGCACATCTGAGGCCACAAACTTTTATCCTCTTCTGTTGGTTGAATTGGAATCCATGTCTAACAATTAAGAAAATGAAAACAAGTAGCTCCTCTATTGAATGGTTGTATTTATGAGCGAAAACTAACACATATCGTCTTGGAGCGCTCAAATTTGCTGGAATGTTACAAAGTGCAGCTGCAAAGCCTTTACAGCAATCCACCCTGAATGCATAGTAAAGATGACAGCAGCATGACTGACCCTGTGTCCCACTCTCAAATGCATGAGAAGGCATGTTTACGTGCTGCATTTCTACATAGCACTGAACACTATGATCCTGAGCAGTTACATAACAGAAACCATTGACGCTGATCGTCCATACAGTTATTTTTATACACTTTATTTCTGCACAGTACTCTGATTATTACAAATGTGTAGTATCAGTATCAACAGTCACATGGCAGGTCAATTATGGAATTTTGCCCAATATAGTGCAGTATTTCCAAAGAATTTTTTTGGAATTTTTTCAGAGGACGAGGAGTCATTGGCTACTTCAGCATTCACTGCCCATCCCAAATGCCAAGAGGGCAGTTAAAAGTCAACCATATCACAATGGGTCTGGAGTCACATCTAGGTCAGACCATGTAAGGATGGCATTTTCCCCTCTCTAAAGGACACTAGTGAACCAGATGGGTTTTTCCAACAATTGGCAATGGATTCATGGTCATTATTAGACTCTTCATTCCAGGGTTTTTTTTTAAAAAACAATTATTCTTAATAACAATAGTATAAACCTACAAGTTTACCACATGGCCAATCATTGTCATGGCTCTTATACTGTCATTATATTTAAAAAGTAGGAACCAATTGATATGTGAAAATATATTGCAGGATGCCACATTTAATGTTGCTTTGCAATTATACATCAAGTAACATATGTATCGATATATCAGTTTACCAACTATATGGAGAGATTCAAGCAATGTACTCAATAAAGCTAGAGCACTTTGAATCAAAAGTGTACTATTTATAACTTATGGAAAAGGTGAAAATGTAACAGATCTATTTTATAATATTGTCAATTTATGCTGACTAAGTTAGAAAAATGTACTTTCAATTGTAGGACCAGTATTTGCATCACAAGAATGGTCAATTGGAAATAAGAAACATTTCCACTCTTAATTGGAGTTTCTAATAGATACAACTGTGTAGTGTCAATGAAGTTCCTGAACCCAGCAGCCCCAGTCAAGATCAGATGAATGTCATCCAATTAAAACAGGCAAATTCATGTTCTAGTTGCGAGTGCAGCACTGCAAGCTACCCACCAAAATGCAGAATAAATGTTTGAAACTAGCTGGACATAAACTGGTTGCTTGATGCAATATTTAGTTATTTTACTAAAACAATTTATTCCATGGAGACATTAGAAATCTTACCTGTTCCGCTCCCACCATACTGATTGGCTTGCACTTGAAGAGGTGGTTGATGAACTTGGGAATGAAGGAGCTGTGTAATTTACAAAAAATAAAAACCATATATTACACTCTGAAGCAGAAAGGCTTAACAAAAATATCTACTTCACTTTTGGAAAAGATGAAATTCATTCGGGGATTGAACCAGTTTGCAGGGCTACATTGCAATAAAGTAGCAAAGATGCAGGTTCACACCAAAGACGACCATGTGGCTGAGGTCATAATCTCAGCCACACTGCCTAACCCTAACCATACTCGCAGAGTTTGGTCAAGTACTGGCCCACATCTACCATCCCAGTTGTACAACTATCTGTTGAATACAGAAGCACTCCAATACCAGAGTTACTACATTAATACATAATTTTCGAAATAGTTGAAGATGAAGACGATAAATTCCAGGAAAGTGGAAGACAACCATCATGTTACAGTTAAGCTGAAGCAAAAATAACAATGCAAATAAATGAAAGGTCAGACCTGAACTGTTAAATCTGTCTGCAAATGTTGCCAGACCTGTTGAGTATTTCTAGATTTTCCGGTTTTGGATCTTTTTCCAGGAGAGTCATTCAGTATGGTTATTATCAACAAGTGTTCACTTAGACTGGCCTGTGCTCTTCCAGCTTGGATCAGGTGACCTTGCAGGGCCAACAATAACCTGTATCTTTAGCCCCAGAATGTAATAGATTCTAATTGTTTACAACCAACTTGAACTCCACAATGGAACCACTCCTTGAATCAACCAAGGCAATTTTAAACATGCTTAAAGATGTACCAAAATAATCCATACTAAACTTGGAAAAAGAAATGTAAATCAGTCAGCTTTCCATACAATAGAGTCAGAAATCATGTCTTTAGGACAGAAAAAAACAGAAGAAAGATTCACAAAATTTATGAGGTAAGGGACCAGCTTGGATTAATAGCTGTAGCAGCAGGAAGGCACCAGCTGCTATTCCTTTATTGCAAGATTCGATGGAAATAAAAACCCATCAATTTCACCATTTCAGAATACTAAAGAAAGTTGATTATTTCTTCATATATTTACGTTTACTGCTATAAATTGCAGCACACAAACAGATCTGGCATATAATACACCACCACTTTTCTGGCATCGAAAATCAGATTTTTGCATATACTCGGCATATAGGTTAGCGTCCTCTCTGCCCCACTTTCAGCCACAATGTGCTTTACTTGAATTAATAGAGGTCAGCCTCAATTTCCATCCCACAACTGATTAATTACCTACTGGTACCTTATAACTGGGCACAAGGGGTCAAACAGGCAATATGGATGTGTCATGAAAATGTGTGGGAGCTAAAGTCACGCCGATCCTTGCATCAGAAGCTAATGCAGTTTCAAAATAGAGGTCACCGTTTTCCGTTCCGTTTTATATTCAGTTTTAGAGGGGTTGACACCTGTTTCTGGAGGGATATTTTGCAGCATCAATGGTCAACTCACATGGTATCAACTATATTGACATCTATGATACATACACAGAAGTGGTTTAAGAGCAACAGACCATTGTAACAAAAACATGTCGAATTAATGTGACCCAAATTGGAGAGTAAGGAAAGACCTAGAGAAAAAATATGGAATAAGTTCAGACAGATCTCTTTGTTAGCACATAGTTTGATGGATCCTTGGTTATCAGGAATAAAATTAATTCCTTGCTTAACACATTTTCCAGAGAAAAGACATACAGAAAATAAGCAGCATGGATGACAATCGGAAGCAAGTAGTGAACTTCTTTCTTCATAGCTCAAGGAAGTTGTGTTTTGGATAGATTACATATTGGGGAAAAAAATAAATAAAAGATTGAATTGAGTGGAGAATTCAGGGAATGGAATAATTTCCAGACACTGTTTGGTTTTAATCAAAATTTCATGTTCTTTTTCCAGAGAAAGATAGATTAAACTCCTTTGCCTCATGTTTTACAAAAAAAATTTGACATGTAAAGTAAGGGAATGTCACACTAAGTGTCCCAAAATAAAGTGCTCTACTTTCATATTCCACAAAATATTAATTAAACTAGAAAGCAAATAAGCACAAAGCAAATTAACTTCAAAGGACAGGCACTCAATTAATCAAATGTTCCCGGAGGGACAGGTTTCACCATATCTTTCTTTTCAGTTCTGGGCTGAGCAGGCTATAATATACTAGCAGCAGTGGACCTCAAGGTCAACAGGATTTGTAAATACTGTAAGTAGGAGATTACAGACATAAGACTGGTCTATTTCTATTACACATTACTCAATGGTAACACATCTTTAACCCCATTATCACTTTAGCAGCACACATATGGAAGATCACATGTCAAAACAAGTGATTAAAGACATAAGCTTCATGCACCTCTCAATTTTATTCTTAAGCTAGTAGAGCTCCTGTAGCATTGCTTATTGTCTATCAGGTGATGTGTTGTTGTAACGACAGAAACAAACAACAGGAAAGAGAAACTTCAGTTTTGATGATGACTGAAGGAATTCGAACTGTTCTCCTTGGGAGAGAAGGCGGCCAAGAGAAGATTTGCATTAGGTTTTCAAAATTATGAGTGGGCTGGATGGAGCAGATAAGGGGAGGCTGTTCCCACTTGCAAAAGAAAAAAAAAATCTAGAGGGCATATATTTAAAATGACGTGCAAATGAAGCAAGAGTGATGTGACCATTTTCACAAAGCGAGTAGTTAGGGTACGGAATGCACTACCTAGAAGTGAAGACAAGGCAGGCTCAATTAAAGCATTCAAGAGGGCATTGGATGGTTATTTGGATAGAAATGGTGTGCAATGATATGGGAAAAGATAAGAGATTGACACTGGGTAACTGAACTGGTTGCAACTGCGATGGACCAAATAGCCTCCTTCTGCATCGTAACAAATCTGATTCTGAAAGGATTATGTATTAATGCTTTAAAACATATTTCTTTCTAATGTAAAAGGGAGTTAGGCCCACTGAGACCATAACTTTTTGTTTTAAATCAACTCATGGGATGAGGGTGTCAGGTCAGTATCTATTGCCCATCCCGAGTTGCCCCTCAGAAGGTGGTGATGAGAAGCCTCCTCAAACTGCTACAGTCAGTGCTGCAAGTACACCCACAATGCCATAAAGGAGGGAATTCCAGGATTTGACTCTACAACAATAAGGGAATGGTGACATATTTCCAAATCAGGATGGTGAGCAGCTTGAAAGGTAACTTACAGGTGGTGGTGCTCCAATGTATCTGTTGCCCTTGTCCTTCTGAATGGAAGTGGTCATGGGTTTGAAAGATGCAGTCTAAAGAGCTTTGATGAATTTCTGGAGGGCATTGTGTAGGTGGTACATCCTGCTGTTACCAAGTGTCAGTGGCAGAGGGAGTGAACGCTTGCGGATATGATGCCCATCAATCGAGCTGCTTTGTCATGGACTCAAGCTTACAGTGTTGTTGGAGCAAGCAGCCTAAGCAAGTATTTAACAACAGAAGCAAACAACAGGAAAGAGGCTTCAGTTTTCATGATAACAGAAGAAATTTGAACTGTTCTCCTCTAAGAGAAGGCTGAGAGGAGATTTGATAGTGGTTTTTAAAATTATGAGTGGGCTGGATGAAGCAGATAGAGAGAAACTGTTCCCACTCATGTAAGAAAAAAAGATCAAGAGGCCATAGATTTAAAGTGATGTGCAAATAAAGCAAGGGGAATAAAGCAAAGTGAGTAGTTAGAATATGGAATACACAGTCTGAACATAAGGAGGCGGCAGATTCAAATGACACAGGGCATTAGATGGTTATTTGGATAGAAATTGCGTGCAACAACATGGGGAAAAGATAAAAGAGAATGGTATAGGATAATCAAACTGACTGCAGGTGCGATGGACCAAATGGCCTCCTTCTCCACCGTAACGATTCCAAGACTTTGAAAAGCATTATGTATTAATGTTTAACCCTAAATGTTAAAAACTATGTACAGCTCAGGATCTCTCAAATTTCTCCTCATAATTTGGTTGATTAACATAGTGTTTTCTGGCAGCATACATTTTTGTGGATTTGATTGTTCCTTGCAGTGAATGGCCTTATTCACAAGGTAGAGAAAATGCAAACAGAAAGGAAAAATGTATTCCTTATGGAATGTTTGAATGGGTGGGGGTGGAAAACGTTAGGCTGTAAATTTACACAAAAATGAACATTCCTTTACCTTCAACCCCTGCTCATAAAAAGAAAAAGTGATAGAGGAAACAAGAACCCAAAGAATTAAATACAGGCTGTAATTATTTAGCAGTTACACTGACCCGAGGGTCCCAGTTAATGCAAACAGCTTTACCACTTACCTTCTACAGTAGAGAGGTCTGCCAGTTAGAGCCCTCATTACTTAGGTTCAGAAGCCTTCTTGCTGAACAAGGAACAAGCCACCAAGGAGATGAACAGCACAACTAACACCTCCCCCACTTCACTTCTGCGTCCATTTACTTTAAAATTGAATCACTGAAAATTCTGCACAACACATGCAAACTCAGAGTTGGAAGCTACCAAAGGAGTGGACCAGCTAAAGATGGAAAGCTGCAGCTTTGTGGACATATATTGCCAATTATGAAATTTAACAAATAACTTTCTTGAGGTCTGCATCCCATTGATGCGTCAAGGATAGGATCATGTGATCATTTTCACATAGAATCTAGAACTTCTTGTTTCTTCTACTCAAAGCAACATCTGAAAGAAACTGCAAAATGCATATTCTTCCTATTTTGCAAAGTGCTACAAGGCACAGCAACAGGCCATTCAGCCCAAATTCAATTCAAATTCTAACTGAGCCTAATCTCATCCATCATCATCTAATATTATCAATGCATCCATCTATTCCTTAGACTTTCACAAAAGTATCTCGTTTTCATTTAACAATGAAACCTGGCCTGGGTCCAAAGGTACTGTAGAGATACCCCAAGCTATTTAAGCACAGGTCACAAACAGGCAATGGTTTGCAATTTGATTTATTTTTTTAAAAAAATCAAAAAGAATATCTGATGCACTCAAGTTTTGTTTTGACATACAGACACATTTTACCAGACCTTATTTATACAC